AAACATAAAATTTTTTCACTGATTTTCATTTATTTTATCATAAAATATAGTATTTACACATATATTTCCTTTCTGTATTTACTTCTAGAGTCACATTCATTACTTGTATTATGTTCATACTTGTACATTGTACTTATATATATGTTTAGGATTGATATGGACTAAGCTATATGTCTTGACTAGATTAATTTCCAAACCTTAGAGTGTGTAACCAAATAATATTAACTTCTGTTGGCTAACTTTCTAATTAATATAATGATTTTATATATGTCATATAAAATCTGAAGAGTTAAAGCTCATTAATTTTGAGTTGAGAAAATTGCATTGCCTATGACACCACACCATAAGAAGCCAAAAAACACCCAAAAATTTGTTGTTTGTGTTTGAGTTTAGTACTGCTATTGGATTTCCCTAACTTTGAGTAAAAAATAATAGATTGGTATATTCCAAATTTAATAGAACATACCACATTCCTTTTATGTTGCTTTATACTTCCCAATAGGAACATGTGCCTCTCGACTAGAAAATTTGGATTTTTTGAGATCAAAAATAAGTTTAGGGTTTTTTGCAATTTAGGGTTCAATCCATTCTTCTTAATCAGTTTGCCTTTGTGATATTCTAGGTCAATACCAGTGCATGGCTCCAAATAGGATTGTGTGAATACCCCAGTGGATATACATTTTCCCAACAGCTGTTAGACTTTTTTGTTTCTTCTCATAGCCTCCAACCTTGTCTTAGCATTTGCGATTTCTTCATCTCATTAGTTACATCTTGAAAAATGTTACAACACTTGCAAAAGGTGTAGGTTTATTTGCTTTATCCATCAAAAAAAGAGAGAGAGAGAGAGAGATTTTGCCTTACCTTCTTCTCTTTTGTATTTCTTGGGATCCAAGAATAATCGCCTATTGCTGCAAGGGGATGGGTTCTTGGCTCATACCTTGGTGTTCTTGTCTCATACAAGAACTAATATTGTAAATATGAGCAATATTGTTTTTGCTAATCATAACAAAAAACGAGTTCTAGAGGGGGTCGATGGTGAGAACATGCAGCAAAGCCATAATAACAACATCAATTTGGAGCTGGGAAACTTCATGCTCATAGTTGATAAACTTGCAAAGTTGTGCAGCATCTTTTGAGTGGATCTAACACTTTGAC